GTTCAAAAGCTCCCTCCTCCTGTGGAGATGGTTTCGTTGACCCATGTACCAATTTGTTGGCGTCATCTTCACAATCGTGATCGCGTTGTCATGTGTGTTGGGTGGGTGAGAGTGAGTTGAAGGGGTGAGAGGCGAGAGTGGGTGCAAGTGGGTGGCAGTGCAGTCGGGGAGTGAGGCTCTGGTGGCGCCCTGACGTAGCCGGTTAGCACTTTCTCAGGCCTTGATAAGGTGGCGGCTGGTTAGGCGCATATTTTCTACACTTTTCAGTCGAATGTCTTTTTTTGCAGTAGTATGAACTTTTTGATTGGTCAGATTTTGGAATTATGGGAAATATATTGTTATCAACCTTCTTTGGCTTTCCATCTCATCTCTGGACGCTCATTTTAAGATGAGTAGTGCATAAATTTTGGTCGTCAGTGCATATAGCGATACCGTGATGATCCTCGCTTATACTTACTTATTGAACTGAATGCGTAATTTCTTTGCTAACTAACCGATGAGCATTTGTCTTAGCCTTGTATTTTTTTGCGAATCCTGAAGGTCTCTTGTCGGTTTATTCTTTAGTCTTACTGCTCTGGAAGTTTTGTCGATGCCCTTTTGCACGTCTCTTTGAGGATTGATACACTCATTTATTTACCCTCACTTTTGCAGTCGACACACCCGGAGGGGAGGAATCCGCTTATGCTGGACGACTTTTACGAGCATCAGTCAAAGCGCTTGTTGGAGAGGCTTCTTCAAGCCCCCAGTCTAGGTTATTCGTCACATCTAGCCCTTCAAGGTTTGCATTCTTAGTGCACCATGTTTGCTTGACTGGATGTTTTACTGTAAATCTTGGCCCCTTAAGATGCCATTTACTTGGCTAAAGTGTCCAATACTTACTTATACAGTGCGATGATTCTGAAGAGAGAAAAATGAATTGTTTTAAATGTCGCCAACTGATGTTCTTGACTTATTGGTATTTGGACGTCCATTTTTTGCCTCAAATAGTTAACAAATTGCGAATTGTTCTTACTAAATTACCATTTTGTCGGTATAAATGGCAGGTACAGACAGTAAATGGAATCCTTGACGTGCTAAAATACGAAATAAGCGAATTACGGCAATTCTTGGACTCACTTTATGGCCCCGTGATTAGAAGTCTGTACTATTCTACTCACAAAATTTAAGTAGACTGACTCGGAGGTTTCTCTATTTCGCAATATTTTTCCTTAAATTAAAGATTGTTTAACCCCGTCTTCTCTTGTAGAGTTCGTTAATCAGACGTTTCCATCCACCAACTGTGATTTCAACAAGTTCTGTGTTATGCATTATCATGGGAAAGTGCGTTTAACAGTTATTTGTGCAGCCTTTACCAATTGTAATGTTCTTAACATTCCCTTCCCATTTACACTCAGGAGGAGTATCAGTTCCAGAGCATTCTTCACAAGCTAACGCCCAATCAAAATCGGGAGTTGTCGGACTTGCTCCAAAGCTCTACAATCCAAATTCTGAAAGAATTTTTTTCCCAAAACGGTAACTATTTTTCCCCTTTTAGTATCCCCATTATTTTGGATGCTTTAATTTTCGGTTTCCTACCATTTTTATAACTAAAATAAGCCCCATTCTAGCATTTTTTTATTTTTGATCTTTTAGAAGTCAAATATACAGAGGTAAGTCCGCACACAACATTTGCTACCACCTTTTCTCTTCCTCTTCTTATTCACATCGAGGCTTCTCAACAAAAATCCATCTTTCATTCTAGAGTTTGGCTGAAGATATCCTCCAGGTCAACGGTGGTAACGTCTCCATCAGTTTGATAAGGTAGCAGACCTCCTGCCTTTGAAGTCACAAAGTCATAGCTTTGGGTGGACTAACTAGGAGTAATGGGGACTCACTTAGCCGCCGTCCTGCATCCTACGACGAACGAATTTCATCTTTGAATAATATGCTCAGGAGCCCACTTTTGGATTAGCATATTATCGCCAGCCAAGCTTACCTTATGCCTTGAGCTGTCTACAATGTGTTAGTAAAGGGTTCTAGTAGCCCTTCTGCCGTTAGTCCCTCCGAGTTGGAGCTGCTGACGCAGCTGACGAGTGATTGTTGAAGAAGTCCTAAGGTCTTGTCCTTTTGGTATCAATTTTCCTACCAAAAATAGTGGGCTTTAATGACTAGCAGCTTTAGTAATTAAAAGTAATCGCATACTTAAAAAGACTATTCCCTTTTGAATTGCTTTTCTAGTGTTTTGGACGATGGACGCTCAAGTGCGGTCAACTGTCAACCACAGAACATAACTCTGCCGCATCTATCACCAACTCTGTCAGGCCAATTCACCTCGCATCGGTACCTACAAGTGTTTCAAGAATCCGGTTTATTAAACTTCACTGCTGCTAATGGTGCAGCCTCTGAATTGGTGGTTGTTAAAGCAGACGAGTTCTTGCGAAGTTTTGCGATGTTGGATTGCCTTCCATCCAATGCACAGAGAAGTTTAACTGCTTTGGCAAGCCAGCTCATGAAGACGGGCAAGAGATCATGTAAAGTGAACTCACAGCTCTCCTAAACGCCATTTATTATGGCAATCATTGTTGTGCCTTCAAACACTTTAGGTGGAACCCACTTGTGGCACGGTCCGGCCATGAAACCACCGAATTCGGCGTATTTTAACGACAAAATAGTAAAAATCGTGGATTACTGTGGCTTGCTGAGTGACCTCTACTTCGTATCTCGGGACTGGGTGAGTGAAATTGGAGAGACGAATTATGTCAATTTGGATACTTGCACAACTTGAACTCAGTTAAGTGGAACTCGATCCTGTGGCATATACCACCAAGCTTGCTGCTTTGTTTCTTCGGTGGTCGCCGCAGTCTATTTGGTGTCCAACGAATTGGGCATCTACTGCATCAGTATAACCACCCCATGGCTCTTTACTCAGCTCCTGGTTAGCAACTATATGACGAGGTAGCTTTATGAGCAGCTTAGATTTCTGCACATCTCTCATTTGCTCACAACATTTAGCGCCATGTTGGACGCCGTAGCTCCTCTTTCATTTGCAAATCTTGCATACATTTCACGACATCATCTTTTGCATCGTCACTGGAGGTCTTGACGGCAAAGTAATTTGTTGGTAGTAGGAAAGGTGTGCCTATTTTGGTTTCTTTTAGGTCCTCCTCTCCAACACAGCTTTGAGGCAACTTAAACTAGAACTGCTCAAACGCTCCATCTCCTCGCGTCGTATTCAACGCTGGTGGCGTCGCCAACACCAACGAAGACTTGCTCTTATGGATATTTCAAACTTCTTTATCCATCCGCCCTCGACTACAACCAATGCTATCACTGCCTCTGGTGTTAACAACAATTTCAGCCCCTTGGGAGTCGTTGACAGGGAGTTCCTACTTCCACACGGTGCTGATGCAGCTCCAGCCTATGTCGTGACCAATTCAGTCGTCTCTAATATCATGATGCCACAAAGTTACGAGATTCCACAAATCCCATGCCAAGTGCAGCAGCAACAAAAGAAATCCAAGCGACCCCCACCCTCTGCTGGAATCGCTTGGTTTGAGCCTCGCCATCAGAGGCCTCCGGCCTATCCTCCAGTGAGTCGTAATGAACGCTTGGTAAGTTGAAAGCAGTAGCAATTGGTGATCCAGGGACCCTTCAGACAGATCGAAGCAAACTGGTGTGTCTTGTCTTTAGGTGACGTTTGCTGAAAACCCAGCCACTCGGGTACTGGGTCGTCAGCATTCCATATTTACAGCATATGATTCGCCTGGAGTGAATCTTAGACGCAGTAACAGCGCTCGATCAGTGGATAACCACCAAATCACCTTTGTATCATCACCAGTGGAGTCTAACGAGGGACGTCCGTTGACCCGCTCCAACAGCACCAATGTGGGTAACGTAGGTCGAGAGGGTCAGGGTGGTGTTCAACGACGGATTCGGCGGAAGGCGAGTGATTTGCCTGAGCTAGGAGCTAGAAGACCTGTTTCTTGGCATGTAGATCAAATGGAGGCTCAGGTATCTGCTCACTTGGAAAAGCAAAGGCTCTTGAATGGAGGGTATTCGCCTGTCACTGGTCGACGTGGATCATCCGCTGTGAGAGTTGCTGACGATCAGGTAGGCCCGTACTCTTTGAATAAATTTCAAAGTAAGAAGTTGTCATGTTTTGGGTGGTTTGAGCTGTCGTTGGTTTTCAAGGTGATTTGTGCCTTTGGAAGGATTTTGTTAAACCATTTTTTTTCGTCTAATTGCTTTAAGCGCTGTGAGCATGGCCAGTCTCAGAACTCCTCTAATGGAATCGGCGGCGGCGTCTTTCATTCCACTAGTTTGAATCTCTCCTCCCTCCTTTCGAGGCCACCTTTGTCTGCGGAGGCTCAGCGCGAGGAGTACGCCCGTGTGCAGGCCGAAATCACACGAGGCGAGTTCAGATCCCAACGACAGGCGAATTCCTCCCCTCTTGGACGAGGTGCCTGTTCGAATCGTCTGGGAGTGATGGACAGTCGACCCAACAACAGTTAGTTTATCAAGTCCCCGATTTACATCCCTCGTTATTATCAGCTCGAGGCACTTTTTATTTTATTCAAATATATCATTTTTCCTTTCAGACCCCCACTCTCCACAGCATTCAAAGCCTTATAGTGTAAGAATTTTCCTCGTCAATAATTTCTCAATGACTTTTATGAGATAAACTTGTGCAAAATTCAAGGCGTAATGTGAAACGTTCGAGCTTAGCTTTTTTGATACCATAATTTACTAGTATTTGTCATTGAGGGATAGGATTGTCTACTTTCCTTAAATTGATTTTAGTAGGGTCTGGAACTGTAGGTTTGAACAGACTACTTGTGGAGTAATAAGTAGCAGGTGGTTGGGTAAATTTGCATGTCAAGATTATTCAGATCGGTTCTTTAAAAACTAGGTCCCTCCCTCTCACGGATCGTACCCCGATATCCCAATTTTGTCATCTGACAATTCTGTCCATTCCCACCAACAACCCTATGCCATGGGTTCGAACAACGCCAGTAATAGCAAAAGAGACACGGAGAGTGCCGTAGGTCGACTGTACGGCCTTCAACCCGGAATTTCACGCCCTCCTTCCAACGTGTACCGAAGACGTCCTCAAACCACTCTTTTCGATGGTCCTCTTACCCCAAACCTTCTACTCATTAGTCCCCCTGTAAACCCCACTCAATCTGTCGAATCACCTCGAAATCCACGTGTAGCATTCGTGACGTCTTCTGCTGGAGGAAAGGTAGTAATACCTGTTGGTGGACGAAAGTCCTCAGCGCCATCGTTGCCAAAATCCACTGCACCATCAACCCGAGGTGGAATTGTGGAACACCGAGGACTAAAAGCACCTGGATGTCAACGGAACTACTGCTATGATTGAACTTGGATGTGTGAAAATCGCTTGTATAGACAGAATGATGAAGCATGGATCCTTCTATTTGATCGATGGATCAATAAACATTGACAACTCCCTCCCCTCCTGCTTTCCTTCGACCCCTCTCTACTGACAAATGTCACTTTTTCGTATTGGTTTTAGGAAATATCAAATAAACTTATCTTTACCATGAATTGTGTGGGGTTATATGTCTGTCGTTTGAGAGTACAGTGATCTCGATTATTTTAACCGAGTTCGAACTTGGACTTAGTTGCTATCGCCAAATCACACCATCTCGCATGCCACAGATTGATGGTAGTGTGGAAAGTAGAACATCTCCGACATTATTTTACATCTGATATCACAGCAGACGATACGGCCAGCAAGTCAATCCCGTGCCCCTTTTATGATGATTATCCCTTCGGCCAGTCTCACTTTACACCTCAAATCTGTCATTTAAAGGACTCACCAGTTCGCATCTTTACAGTTAGGAAATGGTATCAGATAGACCTCTACTGGTCATGAAAATAAAATGCCATTGTCTGATAGCATTAATCTTCTCTCCATTGCTCACCCTTTATTCCACTTCTTCTACAGCCATCATCTGCGGGGTGCAGACAATAAACAGTCCAACAAATTGTCTCATCTCCGCCCACAACCACTATCACCACCCTAATCTGCGACAACACCATATAATAGTTAGTGAAATGTGTTGCCTCCAAGATAGATAATGTTAAACAATACCCTCAATGTGCTCAGCTTATGATCCACATACGGTGCCTTACTAGTCTTTCCATGTCGGTCAACAGAGCCTTTGCGAAATCGGAAAGCAAAATAGTAGTCATCAAGGCGCAACGGTCGCGTAGTTAGGGAAGACTGTTGTGGCTCAACTCGACTTTTATTGAGGGGCATACAATTTTCTTCAAATAAAGAAGACTTTTCAATTTCTAAGTTCTTTACTCTCATCTTAACGAACAATCAATGCCACTGCTGCGTAGCTAAGGATTAAATTTATCAAAAATTCATGTACACACAAAACGGTTCAATTCTGTAGCAAATCAATTTATTAACATCTTGGTATCTTTAAAGCACCCAAAGTTTTGTCAAGAATACTCGCAGCTCCGCAGCTGATAAAAGTTAGGAAGGGCGACTTCCTACTATTTTTCAATTTTCGATTCTATAGATATGTGCCACTGATTTATCCTGGTTTACCACTGAGTTGTCTTTAAATTCATTAACAGTTGCTTAAACTCCAAGGTCAGCCAGTCGTTATTGCTCTCACGCTGCTGAGGTAGTCGGGTAATTCGCATTGATCACTCCGCCTTGTGTGTTTCGTCTCCAGTACACATGCGTAGGTGGGTAAGGCTACCCAGTCCGAATTATTGGTTATCGATCGCCCGCCAAGAATTCAAATTAATATTGCATCTGAAGCATTAATCGATTGATGATTTGGTTAGAAAACCGATAGGACCCGGGCTACCTATACGTATACGTTTCAGTTCGTGACTCGTTTGCGCTTAGGAGGTTGTCTCGGGAGGCTACTGCTTTCGAGTGCACATTTCTGTTGTCCATTTAGTGTTCATTTGTCTGCAAAATCTACGCTTATCCATACAAGCAGATCTGTTTATATCTTCTAGTTTTTGGGTCGCTGAAGGAAGAACGTTGCTTATTTTCTTGAGATTATGAGATTTTATCACCAAAAGTTTTGTTTGAGTGC